GAATTGAACCAAATCCTTAAGGTAGCAAGATTAGAAAATGTCTATTTAATTATTATAATAGTTACTTTTATTGGAAGGGCAGTTAAGCCAACCTGTGAGATAGGTATAGGTTATGGGTTTTGAGAAGCATAAAGACAATTTAAAAACAACAATTTTGAGAACTCCAAAAATGAAGTGATCTTAGTGAGAGCTCCTACCCAAAATGAGGATTAGTCACAGAATAGGAGAAATACAGAAGGACGTTATGGAGTTTTATCTGCATTCTTCCTCTTGAATCACACCCTTCATTCTACTTACATTAAAGTTTATTTATTTATAGCCCCTACTAATACCCTATTAGTGAAATTGAGCAACCCAAGGACTCTAAAAATCATTCATGCTATTCTGGTTTTGGACAGTATAGAGAGAAAGTTCTTATTTTTTTTGGTTCTAAAATTGTTTTCCCTGTGTTTTTCAAATTAATGGAATTAATTTTCTCTCTTGAAGACACAGGAAACAAGGGTAGTCTTTTATTTTCATTTTTTTTTACATTTTAGCCTTGAAATATATAAACATCATTGGTCAGAGTCCCCTTTTATTTTTCTTCTGTATTTCAGATGTCTTCAAGCCCTTGACTGGCTTATGAGATATATATATATATATATATATATACACACACACACACACACACATAGGTATGTATATATGTATAGATGATATAGATATAGATATATAGATATCACTGTTAACTACTTGACTTTGTAGAAACCTATACAAATACCAATGATTATTGGGAAATGACGGCCTACCTGCATTGAGATGCCATCAAGAGCATTCTGCTCCCTTCCAAACTAGAATGAAAACAGGAGTTACCTGTATCTGTCTACATGATCTATTAGTGTAGCCAAATTGAATGCTGTGATTGTATTAGAACTACGTCGGTTTCATTCACAATGCTTGTACCTTTTTACAACCAAGCTCTTCATTATTCCACTCTTGTCCTATCAGCATGGAACCCTATTACAAGGTTCAATGACCTACAGTGATTCCAATTGCATTCTTTATACCATTTGGCCCCTCTGATTCTCCAATCTCATATGCTACCTACCTGCATAAACTCTATTTCTAATTGATAGAAATGTAAGCATCCAAATTCCTACCTTGGCTCAGGCTACCTCTTCTGATTGAAAAGCTTTTGGTTTTCTCTCTTGTCCCTGTAATTCTTTTTTTTTTTTTTTAAGTTTATTTATTTTGAGAGAGAGAGGGAGAGAGAATCCCAAGCAGGCTCTGTGCTGTCAAAGCAGAGCCTGATGAGGGGCTCAGTCTCACCAACCATGAGATCATGACCTGAGCCAAGAGCTAGTGTTGAACGCTTAACTGACTGAGCCACCCAGGTGCCCCTGGTCCCCGTAATTCTATTCTAACATTATAGTTCATCCCAAAGTTCAAATTCCTATTATGATTTTGCCAATCAGTAAAAATCTTGGACTTTATTTAATTATTTCAGCTTCTGAAGAGTACCCCTAATGTACTCAACGAAAACTTAAGTAAAAACCAAACCAAACTGAAACAAAACCGAAAAACCTTACGTATGGTGATGATGTAGAAAAGTGCAGTGTCTTCTTTTCAAGTTCTTGTTCCTCTCACAATACTTACATTATAATAATCGCATTATTATAAGCCACAATTTGGAAGCAGCCTAGGTCTCTCTATCACTACTCAGAGAACATCTGCCTACCGATCCGTAAATAACTTTGGAACTTACGCAATCAAGTAATAAATTTCTATTGTGTGGTTTAATAAACTATGTCCCACAAACCAAATTTTTTTGTGTTTTTTTAAAATAAAATTTTATTAAAACAGAGACATGCCTATTGAGTTGTGTATTGCCTATGACCGCACTCATGCTACAACACTGAATAGTGGGGCTTGGGACTAGATGGCTCACAAAGCCTAAATTATTAACGCTATGGCTTTTTATGAGAAAAGTTTGCTGACGTGTTCTGTTACAACAAGTCACTGAGATTGAGATATTTATATGTTAAGATATGATAGCTTCTTAAATAATAGATATATCACTCTTTCCATAAAGCCAGATTATAAACTGAAAAATAGAGTAATAGTTTTTTTTTTTTTTTTCAATTTCAATAATAAGTGTAAACATTGAACAGTATTGTGGTCACATTTGCAAGAGTAAAGCAAACTGTCTCAGCTTAAGAAAACCAATGGTTTTCATAAAAATGAAGCTTGTGATACAATGTTAAATTTTTAAAAGGATAATGAACAATATAACTAGTATGATTCTTATTGCATACATTTCATAACCCAATACATACGGATAAATATATAACCTTATATAGAGAGTAATTCACAAATACCACAAAGAATAAGAGTAGTTATCTCTGGATTGTCGCATAGCAGCTGATTTTTCTTTTTGACATGGCGGCATTTGACAGGTATTTAAAGACAAAATGTAGGGTCTGTTTCAACATTTTTAAAAGAGCACTGGATTAAGGTTCATGATGAAATGATTCCCCAGTCTTCAGAAGAAATTATACGCAACTAAAATATCACATGGGACATTACTTCACTTAATTGCTTTGTGTCTGCTAAGGCAATACTTCCATCATATTCTCGAGGGTTGACATCCCTAGGGTCTTGGTAGAATATATGCAAGATAAGTTTAGTGTTAGGATTCAGCTTTCTGATCTCCCTTTCTCTCTGTCATCTCTGAACTTATTTTTAATAGATTAGAGGAAAATTCATTTCTCTGAAATATTCATTACAATATACTGTAGACTTCTTTGACTATTTTTTCAGGTTTGTTACTTTTTTTTTTTTATTTGAATTCTCAGCAGGAAGTTTTCTGGAGCCCATTAATCACAACAAAGAAGCTTCAGTAAATGAGTAAGCCCAATTATTCTGCGCTCAGGTGAGTTGATTCCATTCTTATGTATTTTAGTTTAGAAAGAAAATAGTGCGTTCCAATAATCTTTGTAGGAGACAAACACATTTGTAAATCCAAGCATCCTGATAGCTAACTAACTAACTAACTCAGTTCTTTATCTCTAACCACATTTATTATTATTCACTGACCTACATCACTAAGAAGTTATTTTCAGCTCTATTGCACCGCAGTATTCTCATCTTTCTCTTTATAAACAAATTGAATTTTAATAACAATAAGAATTATACGTTGCAATATTTCATTTGTGATATGTGATACTCCTCAAAATAATTCTCAGAAAAAAAGAACAATTTTGAGGACGAGGCCTATATTTTATGATTTTACAGTTGCTAAATGCCTATTATGGTGTTGAATACATAGTAGAGATGCAATGAGAAAGCATGATAGATGTCACTTGAGAGGAGGGAGAGGGTGTGCATAGCACCTTATGTGCTCATTCAGCTGAACGTGCTGGACACTTCCTGGAGCCAAATGGGGGGCTGTGAACTTTGACCCCAAGGCTGCTGGTATAAATATAAGGAGTGCGGGAGGTGGAGTGGAAAGCTACATGTGTGGAAAAGATACATGGGTAAGAATGAGCTAAATATACATCAGAAATCATAGTTATCTTCAAATTTTTGTATTTGAGTAAATTGACACACAATATTACATTAGTTTAATTTCAGGTGTACAACAGAGTGATTCAACATCTCTATATGTTGTTCTGTGCCCACCACAAGTGTATTACCATCTGTCACCATACACAAAATATCGTACAATATCACACCACGTCATACATCAATGGACCTAGAAAGTATCATGCTAATGAAATAAGTCAGACCGAGAAAGACAAATACCATTCAATGCCACTCATATGTGGCATGCCAAACAAGACAAAACAAAACAAACAAAACTAAAAGCCAAGTAAGTAAACTAACAACAACAACAACAAAAAAACCAGATTCAGATTCAACAGATTCAACAAAAACTCTCTATGAATACAGAGAACAAACTGATGGTTGCCAGAGGGACGTGCGGGGCAGGCTAAGGACAAAATAAGTGAAAGGGGGTGGGAGATACAGTCTTCCAGTTACATTTTTTTTTTTCAACGTTTATTTATTTTTGGGACAGAGAGAGACAGAGCATGAACGGGGAAGGGGCAGAGAGAGAGGGAGACACAGAATCGGAAACAGGCTCCAGGCTCTGAGCCATCAGCCCAGAGCTTGATGTGGGGCTTGAACTCACGGACCGCGAGATCATGACCTGGCTGAAGTCGGACGCTTAACCGACTGCGCCACCCAGGCGCCCCATCAAAGGACTCTTAAAAGAGCAATTGAAGAAGAAAAAGTGCAGGGGAATGGGAATGATGTCTTTATAATATGCTTCCCTTCATACTTCTAAGTGCTATATCTGGTCCTAGAGGATAAAACCGGAACAACTGAATGAAAAGCACGGAGAATTTCATTTTGGCCGATAATACGGCGTGGAATTTTCACTGAATTCTATGTGGAATGGCCTTCCCTGTTGTGCCTTGTGCTATTGTAGATTTCAGTAAGTGGTCAGGTAGTGGGTTTTAGAGTAACTAATTACACTGGCAGAAAAAGGCAGTTTAGGCATTTTGGAGGAACACAGGACAATTTAAGAGAACAATTCATTGCTTCCTTTCTTCCCTCAAAGGTCCTCGTTTTATGCTAATTCAGGAAGTTCAGGATTTTCACTATTTCTGCTTGTTTTGTAGGACTTAAGATGTGTCTCCGTGCATTGTGTGTGGTGGTGATTTAATAGGCATACCTAACTTTTTTACTATTATTATCAACTTTTACCCCAATACATGTGTATTATATGCCCGAGTTTACTCTTTCACATGCTCGTATATTTATTTATTCAATAAATGTTATTGAGTATCCACTCTGGTTCTGGTGTCCCAAATTTGTTTTCATGAATTTTATTTTGCCGTGGAACAGACAATGATAAATGTTAAATGATTTTTTAAAAAGTAAGATGCAATTATGTCACAAATGTGGATGAAATTTGTATTTTGAGGGCTTATACTTCTTATAATGGCCCCGAGAGTATGACCATGGCCATGAAAAAAGGGTCAAGTGGAGAGAAAGATTTTGTAAGAGATAAGAAATTAAGAAAAAGGGTATTGGAAGGATTATCTTTATGTCTATGAAATCAACTCAATACAAAAAAAGAAAAAGAAAGAAAGAAAAATCCCTAGTCAAATAACAACCACACTGTAATACTTCAGGAAGCAGGTGGTAATCTTTGGAGGTTTTGAGGTAGACTAAGTTTGATGATAATCTGGTAAAAAGATTTCCAGCATAAAAAAATAGCCTGCACATATTGTAAATAAGTTTATTTCTATCACACATCTCATGAAATATCTGATATTACAATGCACCAAGAAAGGGTAATAGATTTTCACAATTTTCCATACTTAGGGAAATGTGGCTGACCAAGTGTGCTACTTTCCTGTAGGACATAGCTAGAATGTGGGGAAAGAAATGTGTGACGGAGTATAAGAAGTTTCCTGGAAAGGGAATTCAAAAATAATTATAGCAACAATACTAAAAAAGTGTAATCTGGTCATTTCTCTGGATCATTAATTTTCTTTTGAGTTCTAAGTTCCCATAGACAGGTTAGAAGGGAAGAGATTGTAGAAATTTATGATATGTATGTCTACCAAGAGAAACATTTTTTTTGTTATTAAACATTTTTAAAGTTTATTTATTTATTTTTGAGAAAGAGAGAGAGAGAGAGAGAGCACAAGTGGGAGAGGAGCGGGGGAGGGGGGAGACACAGAATCTGAAGCAGGCTCCGGGCTCTGAGCTGTCAGCACAGAGCCTGACGTGGGCTCAAACTCATGAACTGCGAGATCATGACCTAAGCCAAAGTCGAATGCTCAACTGACTGAGCCACCCAGGTGCTCCTAAGACCAGCATTTTAACTGAATTCTGATTCATGAAATAAACCAGACTGGTCTTTCTCATGAAGTCACCTGCCTCTGAAGATACTGGGTCTGATCATTTGAAATATATCAGGGGCAATTCTATTTTTGTTCTGTCTCTCTTGACTGCCGTCTTTTATTATTCTATTTGTACAAATTTCATATTTACCCTGTAATTGTGATATTAGTAAATTCTAACTTCATTTTTCTTTTGTTGTCTTTTTTTTTTTCCAGTAAATCCTAACTTTAAAAATAAAGGCTGAAATCAAGTATTTCCTACAAGACTATTTATGGATAATCACTGTTTCTCCTTACTGCCTCATTTTAACCTTCCTTATCTGGATTTTGTTTCTGACTTTTCTGCATCAACTTTCTTGTTTTGTCCACAGGAACCAAGAAAACCAGAGTGCTGAAGTCACTTTCATTCTCTTGGGCTTTTCAGAATATCCAGAACTCCAGATGCCCCTGTTCCTGGTATTCCTGACCATCTACACAGTCACTGTTTTGGGAAATCTGGGCATGATCATGATTATCCAGATCAATCCCAAACTCCACACCCCCATGTATTTTTTTCTCAGCCATTTATCTTTGGTTGATTTCTGTTACTCTACAGTAGTGACACCCAAACTATTAGAAAACTTGATTGTGGAAGACAGAACCATCTCCTTCACAGGCTGCATCATGCAATTCTTCTTTGCGTGCATATTCGTGGTGACAGAAACCTTCATGTTGGCCGTGATGGCATATGAC